CACTCGAGTTCTACAATCTATCGATGCATAACAAGCATGAAGCCAATTCATACCTAGAATGACATCGAAATCTACCATATCTAACTTAATCAAATCAACCATGGTGCTCTTGTGATTGATAGAAACAGGACAATCACGATAAATTCTTTCAGCTAGTATAGATTCCCCAACCGGTGTAGAGACACAAAAGGGTTCACAAAGTCTTTCAGGAAGAACATCAAACTTATTCGCAACATAAGGAGTTACAAAAGATAAACTTGCCCCTGGATCTAACAAAGCATATACATCAAAAGCAAAGACCTTGATCATACCAGTGACAACATTCGGAGAGTTCTCTTGCTCATGGCGACTGGTGATAGCATAAAGGCGATTTGCTCCTCCACCGGTACTAGAAGTAGCCCCTCTAGGTGCCATCCTGTCTGGGGGAGCAACTGATGAAGATTGGGTCCTACTACCCAAACTTCCACTACCTTGATTATTCTTAGGGCACTCCTTCACGAAGTGACCCTCTTGCCCAAACTTAAAACATCCCGTCTGGCCATCACGACATTTGCCCGGGTGGGTTCTACCACACCTAGCGCAGGTAGGAAACAAACTGCTTCTTTGTGCCACACTACCTGAGGACTGTACTGGTCTAGCCTTGAAGTCCTTCGAATTCTGGCCATTATGACCACCCCTGTATCTTGGTGCGGGTGCGCTAACAGATGGTGGAGCAGGTCCCTTTTGCCTTTCTTGGAAGGACGAACGATTCACATTACCTTTCTGCTGCCCAGGCTCATTACCGGTCTTGGCTCTCTTACTCCTGAACTCTTCCCTATCCCTCAGCTTCTCTTCCTCAACCTGCTGTACATAGACCATTAATCTGGATATGTCCATGTCCCCGATAAGCATTGCAGCCCTACCTTCCTTACTCGACAACCGAGACAGCCCAGCAACAAACAAGCTCATTCTATTCCTCATGTCCGCAACCATCTCCGGAGCATAGCGGGAAAGTTGGGTGAACTTCAGACTGTACTCATGAACACTCAAGGACTCCTGCTTAAGTGTGAGGAACTCACGTACCTTGGCCTCTTTCAGTTCTCGAGGAAAGAAATGTCCCAAGAAAGCTTCTTCAAAACAGGCCCAACTCGCAGGTGGTGCATTCTCAACTTTGCCCCCTCTCCACTGGTCGAACCAAGTTCTAGCTACATCCTTCAATTGATACGCAGCTAGTTCAACCCGTTCAGTATCTGACACATGCATCACATCAAAAATCTTCTTTGACTCTTCAATGAAGTTTTCTGGATCCTCAGTAGTGCTCGAACCCGTGAAACTCGGAGGATTCATCCCCAAAAACTCACGAATCCTTGAAGTGTCAGCTCCTTCCTGTCGAGCTCCCCTTTGCTGACCAATCTGATTTGCTACAGCTTGACTCAACATTCTAATTGCCTCTCTGAACTCGGCATTAGAAACTTCCCCTTGATCTTGCACTCCAGGTGCATCAGGTAACTCTTGCTCATCAACATAGCGTCTAGGGAGACGCCCTCTGCCAACTCTTCGTGGAGGCATGACTATCTGAAACACGCGCAAGCACGGATTAAAAGAAACTCTTTAGAGATCAACTCTAGCGCACGAGACGAGTATGAAAAAAAAAATGGGAAACCTTCCTAAATGTTGTAGCCTCCCAATTATAGATGTGGCGCGCTTCACACCGATAACTAGGACTCTGCAGACACGGATTCATAGACACCCTAGGACTCTTGAACTCTGTGCTCTGATACAAAGTTTGTCACGCCCAGAGCCTACACCCTGGGCGGGACCGGCACCTGGAGACCATTGCTGGCCCCAGGCGAACCCTTGGCCTGGCTTTCTTAACTCAGCGGAAACTTAACTCAACAGAATAACTCAATGCCATGCAAAGACATAAACAACTTAACTAATAAAAGTATGGCCCAAAGGGCAACTCGAGTCTCAAAATAGAATATTTACATATATATCTACGCATACATGGATGAGAGACTCAAAACTAACTGACTGACTGACTGACTGACTGACTGTCTATTGAAGCCTCTAATATTCTGAGATGGATGTGGGGACAGACCCGCAACATCCTAATAGAACAAAACTAAGTACACAAAATAATTGAGTCCTCCGGAATGCAAGGAGGTTCACCACAAACTCTGGAGTGCTTGGCTGGATCAACGACGTGCAGGATGCTGATCCGGGGTACCTGAATCTGCATCATAAGACGATGCAGGCCAACTGGCATCAGTACATGGAATGTACGAATATGTGAGCTGGAAAAGCTGAACCCCAACTTAAGCTTGAAAGGAGAACAAGAGATCACTTACCTTGACTCTGAACAACTCATATAAATAACTGGACTCAAAGTAAAGCAATGAGACACAAGCCATACATATACAGCTTGTAAAAGAATGTAAACAACTTAGATCGTTAAGGATAAAATGACAACAAACTCGACTTTTCTTTTATAAACATAATACAGCTTTGTGGGAGGTTCTTTAACCGACAACCACCACTACGAGCCTTAGTGATGATACAACGTTTTACTTCACGTTGCCAAGGACCATCCTATACCTTGCCATCGATATAGGACCTTACTTTTGCTTAGTGGATCCACTAGCCTAATCTTACGTGATCATCTAAAAAGAATGATACGTCAAGTCCCATGTTGGCGCATGGTTCTTATGGAGAGTTGAGTTAATATGAACTCGTGTCCCCAATTCGGTGCTCAATACTACTCCCAAAAATACTTTGGCTCATGCTTTTAAAATAACTTCTTTCTTTGATTGAGATAATTACTCAAAACTTTAGCCCAAAGGCTCCTTTGGGGAAAGAAAACATGATTCCCTTCTTATTCAAATATAATAGCATTTACAACCTCCTTTGGGAATACTTAGTTCCCTAATAGCTTTCTTTTTTTTTAAGAAGAGAATTCAACTTTAAACTCATGACTTAGCTTGAAACTAAGACTCTTACTCGACTTGAAACTTCACTTGACTTGGAACTATCTTTCCTTGAATCGGAATTATGAATTCAAGGTTTTCGATCACATGTTATGGAAGGATTCTTGAACGCTTAGACGCACTTTGGAACGTCGAAAACAACTACAAAACATAGGTGAATTACTTTGGAACATGCATGAGAAAGTGAGAAAAGAAGAAGGGAAACTTGGCTGAGACTTCAGATTTCTGGTGACACAGATGGGACTTACGGACGCCATCGACGGACCGTAGATGGACTTACGGTCCGTACTGCAGGTCCGTAGATTGCGTCAGAGATTTTCCCCAGAATTCATTTAAGAAAAAAAGACCAAGTGTTGACCTACGGTCCTGACTTACGGTCCGTAGGTCAGGCCACGGACCGTAGGTCGTGACCGTAGATCGATGCCCCAAAAACCAACTTCTGTTCCGATTGACGGTTGACCAGTACGGACCGTCGATCGATCTACGGTCCGTAGGTCAGTCCCGTAGATGGGGATCGACAGCCCAGAAATTTCTGCAAATCGATGGTGGATCAACCTTTAAAGGGTCATAGCTCTTAGAATCATAATCCCCTCAACATACAATAGGTTTCAACTTAATGCACAACCCAATCAAGCCTCACAACGAACAATAACTTCAACAACCTCAACAACAATATCAACAACTAACAACTTCGACACTTCAACAACAATTCCCAATCTTTTCTCAAAGCATAGAATAAACTTGGTGTGTGTGAGGGAAAGGATCAACCCACACGGAAAACTCACATACCTTGATAGGGATCACCCCCGACGAAAATCCACAATGGTCTTGACAAATCTCCTCTTTCTTCTCTTCTTCTTCTTCTCCTTCTTCTCTTCTTCAATCTCAAGAACCCTAACTCTTTCTCTTTCAAAAATGGGACAAAAATGATCCAAAGATCATCCTAATACAACAATATGAGCTCAAAAGAATTGGCTAGGGAAAAGACTAAAATGCCCTTAATGATTCCCGGACGGATTTCCTTGTCAACTGCCCAACTTTCAAAGGTCATAACTCCCTCATACGAACTCGGAATCGAGCAAACTCGGTGGCGTTGGAAAGGTCGTTCCACGAACTTTGCAACCATAACTGGAATTTCACCTAACTCATCCTGAGCTAGAATTTATGGCTGTTCAAAGTTGGCCAAAATTTCACATTTTCCATACTTAGCCAAAATTTCCAAAACTTTAAATTCTTTCCAAAAATGAAATTTTCCAATTCTAAGCCTCTTCAATTATTTCATATTGCCGGATGTTACAGATAGTTATGAAAGTTGCATTGTCTCCTCTGATGGATATTTTTCCCTTGCTTCTTGACCTTCAAGCTTTGATGAGTTAGCGATGGCCTCTGATAGAGCCTTCGGTAGCCAAAAACCAGGTCTTTCGATAGAGGCTGAACGATCAAGTACCAATGGTTCACGCAATGTGATTTGAATGCCATCATATGTCCACAAGGCTAAATCTGCTTCGCCTTTTAAACCCAGGGAGAACCATCCTAAGCCAGCAACCGCAACATCCATGCTCTTGACATCCCAGCTCGTTCCACTGCTTTTACTTTCTGCTTTTGCCATTGTCCCAATTCAGAAACTCGCTCTATCAAAATGGGAGGCTGAATATCAACAGATAAAAACAGAACAAGTAGCATAGCTCTGTGCTCTTTCCAATTCGTTTTCCTTTACACTTGAGTAAATTGAAATCAATAAAATATGAAAATATGTTTGCCAATGAATATTTAGTGAAAACTAGAAACAAGTAGCACCAAAATCATGGATATTTAATTTGCATTGATGGAGAAACCAATAGAGATGGACAAATCTATTTAAACAACATGTGAAACTCAAAACAAATAGAAGATAGGAAGGTACACAATGCTAGATACATATGGATTCAATTTGAAAATGAGAGATCTAACCACATTCTTTATAATTGGTTGGACAAAGAGGAACTGTAATCCTGAAAGCCAACAAAAATGTAATCCTGGTCATCTATATATGAGGTAGTTCTCCTCAATGTTGTAACCTGATTACTTGGCCCTTCTCCTGCATTATTATTGATATTTGTAATACCCTAAGTATCTCGTTTGCGAGAGAAATCTATGATTCGTCCAGCGCGTGTTGACAATTGTTTCAAGGATAGTGCCACGTAAGCCAAAAAGGGGTAGAATATTATATATGAAAAAAGTTCGGGGGGAGGGGGGGATAATAGGACCTTAGTAAAGGTTAGGTGTGTCTCAGGGATTTGGGGCATAGGCTGGGGGTACTTATGCATTTCCCCAAAAAAATATAAAAGTTTATTCATAATTACTTTTTTTTTTTTTAAATGATTACTTTCGTCATACCAACCATATACCCCATGTATGTTTTCCTATGAATATAATACAACAATAACAATAATAAATTCAGAAAATTAAAGTTCCACAAGTAGTGAGATGTACGTGGACCTTATCTCTATCATTATCGGATAGAGAGGTTATTTTCGAAAATCCCTTGGCTCAAAAAAATATTTTTCAAAACATCTTCGAAAGAAATGCAAGAGTCGAAAAAGTTGTAATGAAAATATGGTTTCCTAGGAATATTTAGTGAAAACTAAAAACAAGTAACACCAAAAGCATGGAATATTTGATTTGAATTGATGGATTGAATTTTCAGATTGTGGCCTTTGTCTAAGTAGTGCAATATCATTATTGTTTAGGGAGTAAGATTTCTTAATATGATGCATGCTTAATTCTCGAAGATTAACTAAATCAGCAGAGTCAACATCTTTCTACTGATCACAATGAAAGCCTTTAAGAACTTGAAGACTCGTGAAATATCTTATTGGTTAAACTGAAAATCGATCAAAAAATATCTTATTTGTTTGGATATTTGTTTAGCGTATTTAAAAATCAAAAATAAAAAACCAATAAATCGAAAGGATAATATATAAAACCGAACTGACCGATGCATACCTCTATTATTACCACTCTCAGTGATGCATATTAATCCATTATGTTTTAAAGTTTATTGATTTGACTTTTCGGTTATGAATCTGTAAACCTGCTAAACTGTTATACAACCATTAAAGATATTAGCTTAAATTTATCAATTATTGATCATGATCAGTTCGATTATCGATTTAGCCATTAAAATTTGACACAAAAATAATCATTATATTGGAAATCACTTAGAAAAAATGTGACAAACCAAATTAACCATGCCTTAAAAGCAAACACTTTCACATTGTAGAATAATCGAGATTATCAGACAGACAAAAATAAAAGTATGAAACTAAACTCTAAGTCAAAGACTTTTTATATATCAAATGGTATAAGTGTAATCATTTAATATTTACCATCGGATTATTAGTTAATCCATTAAGAAAAAATCTCAAATTGTTAAGAATCGATAACCCAATAATAAAATAAATCAAAACCATTATCGAAACTACCAAATCAATAAACCATTATGAATAAACCAATAATTTTTTTCGATTCAAATTATCAATTTCTATTTGATTTCAACAGCCCTACTCTTAGGACTCGTTTGATGGGAATAAATTACCTTGAGAATAATTATTCCTGGATTAGTTAGTTTAAGAGGGATAAAAATATTGATTGCCTGTTGCACTTTTTTTTTGTGGTGTGACATATTATATGTATAACTAGATGGGGATGCCCGTGCGCGCACGGGCCTAATATATTATGTTTGGCAGTAATTTTTATGATAGGTTGTAAATGTATGTAAGTATTATTATATTTGTTATTGTTTATGTTTCATACATATTTACATATTTGTACAGAAAAAGCAAAATAAATCGTGATGGCAAGTCATGCTGATGCTTTGTAGTTGACAAAATATCTGCAATTACAAAGAAGTATTTTAGATTGTGGAGGTATAATTTAGTAAGAATGAAGCTAGTGTAGCAGATTGTGACGTACCTTGTTGAAACTATGGATGTCTTGCCCTAATTTTCACTGGAGGCAGTGCATTGACAAAAGGATAGCAAACTGGGATTTACTTTCTTGCAAAAGCATATGTGAGAAAAGTTGTTTGTTTTTTAGTAATATGGTAGTTTAGGCATGTATTGTTTTTTGTTATTATATTCTACCAAATAGGAAGAAAGAAGAAGAAGAAGAGATGAAGAGTAGGAGTAAACAACGAACAATTACGAAGCAAGAAAAGTGCATAAGCTAAGTGTGAACAGTTATATTAGCAATTTAGTATCGATAATTATAAAATATTTAAAGAATTAAAAGCTGAGGAATATTTAGTACTACTTTAATCACATTTTCGTCTATGGAAGCACCGTCACTTCAATAAGGTACGTACTATACTATTATTCAGAGACAAATTCAGATTCAGAATACTAATGTTAACCCCATGACCAGAATTGGATGATCAGTTCTCAACTTGGTATCCTGAATTCACATTACCACTACTACTCCTCATATTGGATTGAACTGCAATGTTAGGATTTATATTTTTGAAACACACTTTCCAGACCCACTACCTACCGTAAAACCAAAACCACTAATCCTTAAGCTGCAGAACCACATAATGCCATCCCTTCCCTTATATCCATGCATTTACTCACTAAAATTTGAATTCCAGGATACAAAAAAAATTGAATCTTGGTTCTGCTATTTCCTAAAAAGGCGGTAAACTTTTTCAAGTTCAATCAACCAATTCAAAATGGAACCTAAAGTACCATCAAAAACAAAAAACCTAACAAAAGTAGAAGAAAAACCGAGTGTTGATTTAGCTTGGTAAATTAGTATCACCACTTAAATTGAGACTTCTAATAAAGTAAAAATAAAAATGTACAACAAAATATGAAAAGCAAGCACAGGAAGCCTCAAACATCGAAGAAGAGTATTAACTTCAATTCCGTCAATCATAAATTGAGTTCAGAACACAACTTATATGAAAGGACTTGATAAAGCCAAGAGTCATAGAGATGTGAGAAGTTTTGCTTATTTTTAGTCACATATAATCTCTTATAGAATTGTGCAGGCTTTTAAATTATACTCTCAATGTATGCTCCTCAAGTCTTGGCCTAAATCTTACTATTTTTCTTTTTCCTTTCATCATGTGCTTTTTTTTGGTCACTTTAAGTTCTTTGCATTTACTTAGCAGAGTGTCTGCTAGCTAGACCAACTTTTATCTATTGGAGCTTTAAAGTACATGCTAACAAACTGTTGTATTCCACAATAATGTGCCCGAGAGGAGATTTAAATGATAGGAAATTTAAGAGATTATATTATCTTAACCTATGGCTGAGGCGAGCAAGTCTTATAAACACAAAACATACAACAATGTGTTCATAACTTTCTTACATTTGCTAATGATCTACCAGGTAAACATAGACACGTACAGCAAAAAAAGTAGTCTTCCAACAGTTAAGTGACTCTTTTTTGGACATCCTTTGCTAGATGGAATCTTTCTAGCCCAATAATTTAATGGATTAAAAACTTGCAAACAGCCCTAAATAGACACATATTAGTTTTAAATTGAGCCTTCAAAGGATTCTTTTATATCCAGAATTTGAAATCGAAACCTCTGCTTAAAAAAAAAGAAGAGCAATCTCATCAATTGCACCACATTCTCTGGGGTTACTCAAAATTGAGTTTAGTTGTACCTTAAGATGCATTATTGATTCAAGAGTGGAAGTATACAAACATTATACTTGCCATATAGTCATACTCTACTTACAGGTCAAATAGCTTCCTATTTCTACAGAACACCAAATATGCAAAAGGCCACTTGCGGAGGATTATTTTGCTTCTTGTTTGTTGACATAAAAAAAGTATTACTCCTGCTCTTCAATTCTAAAGTTCTCGGAGATGTCTAAGAGGGGTTGTACGCGTGTTATAGAAACATATTGTGTGATGATTGAAGGGCTTTTTTTTTATAACAATGCTACTGAAGAAGCATAATTTAATGGAAACGAACAGAACATGCCATACATATACCATAAATACAACAATTCGAAAATTATAAAAAAAAAAAAAAAAAAAATTAACTGAAAATTAAAGCGATACTACGGAAGACAGAAAACCAAAAGTTTTATCTGCAGCCATATTCAAAAATCAATGGAAGCAGCAGTGCGGAAGAACAAAAAGTGAAAGCTAATACCTTTTTTTCCATTGTGAGACCTGGAAAGAGCTGAAAAGCAAACACCTTTATCTGCTTTCCTTTTACTTTGCTTATATGAGAACTGAAGAAGAGTTTTTCTATAGATGATACATGAGAGCAAAGTGGAAAGAGGCATGGGTGCCACGTACAACACAACAGTGGCAAGTTGAACACGTGGAATGAGAGGAAAGAAAGTTGAGCTAAAATGACCAAAACGCCCTTCATAAATAAAATAAATTACCAAAAACAGACATGTTGATACCATCTGATATACTGACACTTCTACTATGGTAGAAAATTGTCAAGGCCTTGCTGAAATTGATGGTAAATTTATGCTCTATATATTGAACCACAATTTCTAATGTTAAAGAGTATAATTTCTTCATGGTAAACTAAAAATACTTTGCAACTTAAATAAACATTACAAAATCAAATTAAGAACATCAAACTCAACACAATTATTTCAACACTAAACCAATGGCCACAAAAGAAGAACAATGAATGGAAAGATATGAAAAAGACCATCGAACAAGATCTGAATCTCAACGTATCGTAACAACAAAAGATATGGAGGCTCTAGTTTATTAGCTGAAGGAATATTGTTCTTACCTCATGGAACATCGACAAATTCGACTTGACCTCCAATACTACCATCACAAGTAGTCATCAAATATCCTTTAGCAAGTATCACAATCTAAATATTCTACATTTGAACTACAAGTAGCATGACCATAAGCTAAAGCATCATTAGGTTAAGGAAATGTTATGTAATAATCATAACCTTGTTTTGGTGTCTCATTACTTAAATCTATAAGAACATAAGACAAACTATCTCCAAATGGGCCATTTTTTGTCATATATTTCACCATTGCATGTATGGTCCAATAATTTAGACTCTGGAAATTCACTTCTCACAAAACAATTAAAGTACCCCATGATTAAAGTTATAATTAGGAATGTGGTTAGCACTCTAATTCTCAAAATTGAGCTCCTAGCTATATGTATGTATATATATTTATTTATTTTACTTTTGTGTTACAAATAATTGAGTTTAGTTCTTTAATGTCCTTTTGTTTAAATAGATTTATCCATCCTTTGATTTCTCCACCAATGAAAATTAAAGTATTCCATAATTTGTATTTTATAAATTATATATGTTGCCGGCAAAAGACCACTTCTATTTTTTTGCTTTGATATTATAAATCTTAATGCTTGGTATAATTCTTGCAAAGGGGGGAATATTCATCATACAAAGATAGATCCATTAAAAGCAATTGATGATTAACAGTACTGATCATGCAATGTTGTTATTATTATTGAATAATTTGGATTTCTAATCATTTACAATTATTGGGTTTTAAAATTAACAATTTATATCTATTATATAGGATTTAGATCAAAGCTACTGAATTCAGTTGAATCCATAACTGAAAAACTAGCTCCACCCTTCCTAGTTGCTTCAGGTACTCTGTAGTGATTATTGTGCATTCAGTTTTACAATTTGATTGTTTTTGTTATTTAGTTTTGATCATTTGATTTTCGATTTTCAAACATGATGGCTCAACATGATTATTGTTCCCTTCGTCCTAATTTATATGAAGGTATAAATTATAGTTTGACTCTAAAAAAGGAAATCATGGCAATTAAAAGTGAACAGATGGAATAGTATATATTATCTTCATTTTATTATTTTTTATTTTAAAGTTGTTATAAAAACTCGTTCATGGGTTATATTTGGATGGTTAAATTTCGAATCCAAAGTTAAAAAAACATCACTTTTTCCCTTCAAAATACATAAAGGGCCATTCAATTTTTAGTTTAATCAAAAGGGACACTTCGCTAGAGAAGGAGCGAGATATGTTTGTGCTATAACTACCGTTAATGGCATAAACTGACTTATGAACAATTTTTCTCTTTGCGAATTCTCAACTTCTTTTATTATATGCCCTCATAGTAACCCCATCATTAATTTTAATTTAGATAACGATGAAAACTTTCTAATAAAATAGAAAACATTTTTTATAAATTGAAGTAGGATAAACACTTTTCTAATGAAAAAATCATTATTAGAAAAAGAATGTGTTTTTTAAAAAAAATAAAAAATAAATATATATATATATATATATATATATATATATATACATTTTTAGACCAAACTAGTGAAGACAATCATATTTTCTAACCCCTTTTCTGTTAATTAAATCATCACAAAATAATGGTGTTCAAACAACAACCGAAAACAAAGGGGGAGTGCCAAGAGTTGGGGTTGATGCGCCGCGAGTTGGTTCAGGCAAAAAACTAATGGATTCAGGACACAAACTAATGGATACATCTGATGTTCAAGATGCTGAAAATTCTAGGCAGCATGTTTTGCAGTTGAAACCAAGAATGTAACTAAAAATTGGACACTGGTTGCACACAACAAATCAACTAGTAATCGGAGTCTTTCCCCGACTAGTCAAAATAATTCTCCATGTAGTGAAAAAGGTGCGACTGGAAATTTTCATGACAGTGAGAAGAGACAAGATATTAGTCATGCCTCAAGAGACCTATTATGTTCGAATAACTTTGATGCTTTATTGAAGACTATTGGAAAGCAAGTAAAGTTAACAGAGAATGACAACGATTTGATCCAAGAAAAGAAGGTCTCACCACCTACTTTGAATAGCAAATTAAGTCCAGAAGCTCCCGTATTTGTGCCTAAATGTGTGATTGCAAAGATGAATGAGTCAAGCGCCTTAGTGTCAAATACAATTGATTTGGGCGAGGATTCACTTGATGAAGATGAGGAAGACAATATGCTTGATTTGGGCGAGGATTCTCTTGATGAAGATGAGGAAGATATGTTGGACATATGCTTTGATATAGTGGCTAGGGAAGGAGATATATCACCTAGGCAACAAAGAAGTGGAAGCAACAAAATCAAAAAGAAGACACATGGAAGGCAATATAGTTGGGACGGTAAAATGACTGAGGAGTTTGTTCCAAGACACCTACTAATGCGACAGGAAAAACAGAATCATTTGACAGTATAGGTTCAACAAGATCCAATAAATCCATAAAGAAAGTTTGAATTATCAAGTGTTGTTGGATAGGTTTGAAGAAGAAGACAAGAGAAAAATACTTCAAGTTACTTTTGATGGGCAATCAATTTTTTTTAATTTATGCGTTTGTAATAGAAAGTTTGAGGTTGATAACTCAACTTTCTTCTTGATTGGCATAATTTTACATTATTTAAGCATCCTCATTTGTAATATCACCATGGAGTGTATTACAAACTCTGTGGTGATCAGAAAATACTTAGTTCTCTCTAGCTGTTATTTTATTCATGCTTATTAGGTAGTAGACATTAGGTACTTCATTAGGATTAGTAAGGTAAGGCCTAACCCCCCTTGCTTGCACTTATCCCTAGTGGTAAATTTGCGGGGAAAAAAAATCATCACACAATCCCAAAAAAAAAAAAAAAAAGTTCTCTTCCAACACATTTTTCCACACACTAACAAAAACAGAAAGAAATTACACATTCAAAAGCCAAAAAACATTCAAATAGGTTTCTATTATCAAATAAAATCCCGCATATGGTTGTAAAGATCCACCGTATTTTTTTTCTCTTAAGATATTTCATTCTCTCTGGAATCTCCTTCAGCTTTGAACAACAACTGATAGCAAGACTTTTAGTGAGAGGCATGACACTTGTCACGCCCTGAGCCTACACCCTGGATGTGGCCGACACTCGAAGACCATTACTGGTCCCCAAGCGAACCCTCATCCTGGCTGACTCTAAGCGGAAGACTAACTTAAGCATACAAGAGCTTAAAACTAAATAAGAGTTTATAAACTCAACTTTACAAATCTTTAAGTCAAAAGAAAACTCTGTATACTAGAATATATATACAACTCGCCATAAAAGGCAACTTTAGTCTTCAAAACATTTAACAAAATAAATGAAAAGACTTCTGAAACTCTACTGTCTATCTATGAAGCCTCTAACCGATAAAGATGGAAGCCGAGACAAGACCCACGACCTCCTAACAATTGATGCAACTGCAAGGTAAATGAAATCCTCCGGGAGCAAGGAGGCTTGTCATAGCTAACTGGAACTCCCGGATGTATCAACGAATTATTTGTTGATGATCCTGAATACATGTGTCTGCATCATAAGAAGATGCAGGCCAAATGGCTCAGTACGTGGAATGTACGAGTATGTAAGCTGGGAAGCTAAACAACATAGGCTAGAATAAAAACTGGAATAAACTGAATAACTTACCTCTTTTCAAACTTTCTCAACTCAAGGAATACTCAAAACTACTCAAACTTACTCAACTCAGAAGATAGATACTGAACTTAGAGACAGATACTCAACTCAAAGATAGATACTCAACTCTAGATACTCGACTCTTGAATAACTGAACTCAATATAAAGCAATAAGACGCATGCAATATATATATATATATATATATATAAAAACTGGTAAAACAGTATAAACAGCTTAGTTCGTTAAAGATAAAACGATAATAAACTCAACTTTACTTATATAAAAGTAATATAACTTTTGTGGGAGGTTCTTTAACCGACAACCACCACTATGAGCCTTAGTGATGATACAACGTTTTACCTCACGTTGCCCAAGGACCATCCTATACCTTGCCATCGATATAGGACCTTACTTTTTCTTAGCAGATCCACTAGCTTAACTTTCGTGATCATCTAAAAAGTATGACCCGAGAAATCCCATGTTTGGCTACATGGTTCTTATGGAGAGTTGAGTTAATATGAACTCGTGTCCCCAATTCGGTGCTCAATACTACTCCCAAAAATACTTTGGCTCATGCTTTTAAAATAACTTCTTTCTTTAATTTGAGATAATTACTCAAAGCTTAGCCCAAAGGCTCTTTTGGAATCAATGTTCCCTTTCTTTGCTCAAATGTGAAAACATTTATCAACTTCTTTGGGAAATACTTAGTTCCCTAATAACTTTTGAGAAAATGAACTCAACTCTTTACTCTTTACTTTACTTGAAACTCTTGGCTTGATGTGAAACTCTTAACTTAACATGAAACTCTTAACTTTTGACTTGACTTGAAACTCGATACTTTTGACTTGACTTGAAACTCTTAACTCAACTTGAAACTCTTAACTTGACTTGAAACTCTTAACTTTGAAGTTAAAACATTCAATAAAAACTCTTGGAAACTTTAAGAAACTTTGCTTGAAACACTTTAAAAACTTGCTTTGACTTACCTCTTAACTTCACTTGACTTGGATCCTACCTTTCCTTGAATTGGATTATGGATTCAAGGATCATGATCACATGTTTATGGATGAGTTCGGGATGTTTAGATGTACCTTAGAGTATTGAAAACAACTATAAAACATAGGTACTTTACCAAGGAACAATTAGAACATGTATGAAAAAGTGGGAAATGAAAGGTAAAGGGAAGGATTGGCGTCCTTGGCGCTCTAAGAGGCGCGGGGCGCCAGCCCTCAAACTTCAGAGGGGCCTGCTGGGCGCTCTGCCCCAACGGGAAAGTTTAGCGTCCCTTTTTTTTGGGGTGCGCTGGCTGGCGCGACACCCCAACCCTTTTCCCCCAAAAATCCAACTTTTTCCCCTTGTTTCTTTCCAACTTTAAACCCTCTCAACATACAGGTTCCAGCAGCAAACACTTAGAGTCATAAAGATCCTTAATATACAATAGACTCAACTCAAAATCACAACCGGAAACATGTACTAAACCAACAAGAAACTTCAACAACACAACCACAAGAATTCAACAACCACAACAAATCTTTCTCGGAATTAAAAACGAGTTTGGCATGTGGGGGAAAGAACCAGCCCAACACTATGATCTGACATACCTTAATAGGGATCACCCCCAACGAAAACCACGACGATCTTGACGAAATCCTTGCTTCTTCTTCTCTTTCTCCTCTTCTTTCTCTCTTCTCTCCAAAACCCTAACTCTCACTTTTAAAAAGGAAAACTGATTTAAAATCAGTCTAACAACTCAATATAACCAAAAGAATTGGCTAGGGAAAAGACCAAAGTACCCTTAAAATTTTCGGACTAAACTGCCCTGTGCGACTGTGCCAACAGCTCAACTTCCAAAGGACATAACTCACTCATACAAACTCAGAATGAGCAAACTCAGCGGCGTTGGAAAGATCATTCCAAGGGCTTTCCAGACATAACTGGAAATTTGCCTCAATATTCTGAGCTAGGAGTTACGACTGCTCAAAATTGACCAAAAACTCACCTTTTGCCCATACTTGGCCAAATTTTCCAGATTTTTGAATTCTTTCCAAAAATGACTATTTCCAATTCAACTCTTCTTGGAACTCAATGTGCTACATCTAGGGACCTTAACTTAACACTCAAGAAATTTTTATTCCTCGGTAAAATCTCACTCCACATGAAGGACGGCTCGAGTCTTAGTTCGAAAAATTCTCTGGGGTGTTACAGCACTTGTGGCTAAATGCCATGTTTCTAGGTTTGAAAGATGATAAAGATGAAGGAACTCGAGTTGACGAAAGCTATTATCACTGCACATTATTTCTTTTCCATTATAAGTATCTTCTAATATGAGATCTTTTAGGTTTGGCAACATTCCCAAAGTAGGCATCGGATCTTCCATGAGTTTTGACTTCCAAAGAACCATCATAGTGATGGAATTTGGAAACAGATCTGGCAGTTTCTCTAATATTCTCCCTTTTAACAACAATTTCTGGAGCTTTTGACAAGAACTAAGAAATTCAAGGGATGAGAATGATTCATCAAATTCACAAAACAATGTGAGACTGCTAAGGTTTTTCAAGCTGCTAATGCTGTTCAGGAGTAAGATTTGGTAATTAATTTCACTCATCCTTAATTCAAGAAGATTGACTAAATCAACAGGGTCAACATCTTTCCACTGATCACAACGAACGTCTTTAAGAACTTCCAGACTAGTGAGTTTGCTTATACGTTTCAGAGGTTTTAAATACGAAGCAACTAAATGTCTTAGATTTATCAGGTCAGCTGTCTCGCGGGGTAGTGCACAAGAGTATCCACAGTCAGTGACAACAAGTGTCTGTAGATTCTTGAGGTTGCCAATGGAAGAGGGAACATCATAGATACCTCTCAATCTTAATAACTTAAGGTGGTACAAACTTCCAATGGCATCAGGTAATGTAGACATATTGTCACCACGCATATCCAAGTACAACACATAGAGATGTTGGAACACACTACTACTGAAGTTCATAAGACTCATATTACGAAAATCTGGATCAGAGAACATAATTGACCTCAACTTTAAGTTAGAAAGATCAAGTGAGAGGTACCTTTCTCCTTGACTATGAATGACATGTCTGATACATAAGGAGGATATCGAGTGCTTTCTTGGATCATAAAAGTCAAAGAAGTTTACCTCCAATGCCTTTTGTATCTCAAGATCACGGAGTAAATCATGAACCCTACATTTAGTAACTCTTTCCCAAAATGTATAATCCACTTGAACCAAGCTTCGTCTTATCAACTCATTCAAGAAGCCTTCAGCGACATCCTCCATTCTTTCTTCTCCTCTTGGTATGATGAAACCCTCTGCCATCCACAACCGTATTATGTTATCAGCCTCGAGCACTTGATCTTCTGGAAAAATACCAAAGTAGAGAAAACACTGCTTGAGCGCAGTTGACAAATCATTGTAGCTTAATGATAGTATGTTAGAGATTTCAATAAATTTATCTTCTTTAATGTTCTTCCAAAGGTGATCTTCCACCTTTTGCCATTCGTGTAGCCCCTTTTTATGCGAAAGTAGTCCGCTCAATACAACAATCCCAAGAGGTAAGCCTCTACACTTTTCCACCATATCCTTAGCTAGACTTTCCATTTCTGGAACCATTGCTCGAACATCAAGTAGTTTCCTATGAAAGAGATCCCAACTTTCTTCTTGGCTTAGGAAACGAAGTTTATGAACAAAACCTCTGTCGTCTGCTCTTTCAGCAACATCCTCTTTGCGCGTGGTTATAATGACTCTGCTGTCATTCTTGCTATCCGGGAATGCTCTTTTCAAACCCTCCCATGCTTCTTTCTGCCATACATCATCAACCACCAAAAGGTATTTGCGTTCTTTTAATAGATCACAGAGATAAATTTCTAGATCTCCTTCTGTCGTCCTTTCCAACAAATCTAGAGTTTCCTTGGTGCAACCTTGGATGGATTTTATGATAGTTTTAAGAAGATCCATTGTGTTGTACTCTTGAGAAACACATATCCAAGCACGTGTAGGGAAGGTATTGACTATACTAGGACTTCTGTAGAGGTTTCTCGCAAGAGTGGTCTTGCCTAAACCGTCCATGCCATAAATGGAGAGGACACTTCGACGAGACTCTGCTTTCAGAATTTCAGCTAGCAATATTTCTACAACATCCTGAAATCCAACAAAAATATAATCCTGGTCATCCACATATGAGGTAGTTCTCCTCAATGTTGCAACCTGATTACTTGGCCCTTCTCCAGCATTACTATTGATATTTGTAATACCATAAGTCTCTCGTTTGCGAGAGATATCCATGATTCGTTTCTTGAGTGATTTGATCTCCTTGGCTACATTGTATAATTTCTTCTCCTTCCTACATATGCAAGCACAACCTTGAGACAACTAGCACGTTTACCAGCCTCAAAGGTGTAAGTCTCGAGTATAGCAATAGAGTTGATCTCAAACACCCATTGTACAACTCTATGATCTGCATATTGCTTTAGTTCTGGATCTTCTAGGAAAGGTTGTATGAAGAATAACTCATTTCTCAGCCATGTAACTTCATCTCTGAGACTTGTTCTCAGTGAAACTTGTTGACTGAGGAAATCGCCCAATTTTCGAAGTGAAAATGACACAAAAGCATCAGCCATCTTCAGGAGTGTTGATTTTTGTTTAGAAAAGAGGGGGTTGTTGCCTGTATATATACAAATAAAGTTTAAGTCAAGAATGAAGATATAAGGCCAAAAATGAACGATCAATACGAAACCAAGACATGGATTATTTGCCGGCATATGCATTGGTTAAAACACTATGTGGCTGTGTTTGATACTATCAATGTCATATCATGATAACAAATTAAGACAATTCAAATTAAATTTATCTTTTGTAGTAGCATAATCAGTAATCACATATAGTTCCCTGATAGTACATATAATTTTTTTAAATACAATTTTCTTATTAAAAATCATAGCACTCATAGTGCATATAATTTTTTCTTAAAAAATATCATTATAAGTAAAAAAAAAAATTTTAATGGGGCCCCAAAAATATGGTCCCCAAGTAATGGCTTTAGTGACCTAGGGGTTAAGACGGCCCTGGTTGTGGTAATGACAGTTAGTGGTATTAAATACTTCTAGTAATTCTATTTTATCATTTACCCTAACTTTATTATAATAGCTTTATCACGCATCCTATTTTATTATAATACGATAAAGAGGTTGTTTTCGAAAGACCCTTGGCTCAAGAAAAATACTTTGAAAGAAATGCAAGAGTCAAAAAAGTTGCTATGAAAACATGGATTCCTCTGAATATTTAGTGAAAACTAAAAACAAGTAGCACCAAAAGCATTGAATATTTAATTTGCATTGATGGAGAAACCAAGTTCTTGAGTTTTGTAAAATACTCTGTACCTTGCAATCTCCTTATGCAGACTGAAGGTTCTTTATCCATCCAAGGGTCTTTCGAAAAGAACCTCTTTGTAAAATAGACAGACACTGACTCTGAATTCTGATACCATGAAGGTTTCTAAAGAAACCAGAAACTTTTCTAACAGACTAGTAATTTGATGAAGAAGATAGCTTTATTTACAATCAGATGTGAATAGTCTATTTATACTACTCAATACAAGTTCTTGTTAGTAACTAACTGTCACTATCTATAACTAACTTAGTAACTAATTAATTAACACTCTTTTCTAACTGTTTTCTGGAAGTAGTCTAACAGATTTCTTTGTTTGAGTTCTATCAACATGGAGCTAATTAGTTAAAACAACAACAACCAACATTTTAGTAGATCAAGCTATAATTAATTTGATTTATGAAAAAACATAGATCCAATAGAGAAAAACAATCGAGAAAGATTGAACAAGAGAGTTGCATCTTAAGTGAAGAACTAATCAGAAACTTAAAAGAAAGAATTTCATTGAGAAAACGATTTGGGTGGGAGAGAGGTGGGGGTTCGGATGGTGGGGGAAGACGATTTGGATGGGGGAGGGGTTTGGGGATCGGGGGTGGGGAGTAGGGGGTGCTGGAGAAGATAATCTATGATAGGCTCTGTTTTTTTTTTAATTATTTGGGCTTTAAAAACGACATATGTCATTGAGTGATTGACCATTTTTTTCTATACAAAATTCATTATTTAAAAATTATTTTTGGCATATATGCCACATGTCTTTATTTAATTCGTCACTTTGACATGTCATCAGTGAGTGTGTTACACACACCTTATACATTTGGCTAATTGTTAAAAAAGTGTCAAAAAGACATAACAGGGCATGACATGAGGTGTCTAAAATGAACAAATCCTAATTCAAGTGTCTAAGTGAAAATTTGAGTCAACTTTAGGTGTTCACCAATGGGTTAAAATATTGAGTGTTTAATTACAAGGGAGAAATGAAAACATATAGCCTTTGGTAGCCAAAATCCAAAGTTGCATTGTCTCCTCTGATGGATTCTTTTCCCTTGCTTCTTGACCTTCACGCTTCGATGAGTTAGTGCTGGCCTCTGATATAGCCTTTGGTAGCCAAAATCCAGGTCTTTCGATAGAGGCTGAACGATCAAGTACCAATGGTTCACGCAATGTGATTGAATGCCATCATATGTCCACAACCTTAAATCTGCTTCGCCTTTCAAACCCAGTGAGAACCATCCTAAGCCAGCAACCGCAACATCCATGTTCTTGACATCCCAGCTCATTCCATGTGCTTTTACTTCCCGCTTTTGCCATCAGAAATAGTGCAGGAATTGGAGTATTACCTGCAATGTCACTCCAGCATGGTTGTTCTTGAGCTTGTCGCCATTTTCTGTCTTTACTAGATGAAGAGACACATTTGGCAATGCCCAGACAGTGACGTAGATTGTTTCAACTGAGGCTTGAACTAGATCCAGTCTAACTATATGTACAGTCTGCCCATGCTGCAAGAAAATTGCAAAAATACATTTTAGAGTCGAAAAGTCATTTTTGCAGCCTTACCCTGCATTTAAGGAAGATCAGCAGTTTTCACAACTCGAACCCATGACCTCCTAGTCACATGGAAGCAACTTTATAGTTACGTCAAAGCTCCCCTTCAGTTGACAAGTAAGAAAAGATGTCCTCCAGGGGAAAAGGAAAAACGAATATATCAGTCCCCCACCCCTCCCTTAACCAATTGAGACTTGATCCGGTTCAATATTATGAAAATATTTTCTTTTCTCTTCAAGTGACAGTTTCTTCTCCTGTTTCACCCAAATATTATTTAACACGTAAGTTATTTATAAAATAAAAATGAACAAAGTTATGTAAGATTGGGATTTGCTTGTATAGGTACCTTTGCTATTATAAAAAAAACTTGTCATATGCTTGACAAGATCCATCTCATTTAATTTCTCTTCAACATCTTTCATTCTCTTTGGAATCTCCTTCAGCTTTGAACAGCAATGGATACCAAGAATTTAAAATTGCATGGCACAAGTTATGCTCAGTGTACTGGCCAAGCCAAAAGTTACCGTTCAAAATTTAGTATATATGTATGAAAAATAATTTTTAACTTATATATTTTGTACAATTTTCTACATACATAGTATAATATTTGGATGAAAGATGTCCGATTAAACACCCTAAGCTAAATGTGGCTACACCACTGCTTCATTGGCACAAGTTGTACCACTGCCACATGGAGGTAAAGGTTGTTTCGGAAAGACCCTCGGTAATAAGTCCCCTAGGGCGAATATCACAATATTTCTGTACTTTATACTTTATTTAAAAAGACGTACTATCATATTAGATTAAATTTTATTATTCAGAAGAGTTGGTTTAATTGTTCCTTCACCTAAATCACTTTTAGCTAATTAATTATATTCAATTTGCTTTATTTTATCTAAACATGTTTGACTAGGTACGCCATTTTAATCAAGACCAGAAGATTTTTAAAATATATGGTTTTGAAATTTTCATGGTCTCAATGTGGTTATAAAATCATATTATTAATAGTAAATTTAGTATGTTCAAATTTCATCTTTAAATTATAGAGATACCTTTCTTTTCTTTTTAACTATCCTTGTTAGGGGAATCTATAGGAAAAAATATGATGAACATGACTTCTCAATTTGAAGATGCGTTTTGTAACTTTGAAGAGAAGAAATAAAATATTCGATAAGTCAGCACAAATTAATTCATATTCAGCCTTGGAGCTTATTCCATAAAGATTTTGTAAGAGGTTGAAGGTCAAGATCGCAAAATTGATTTGCTGAAAACGAATTTTGTTTTGAATTGGTGATTTCTCAAAAGAACTGAAACATCGATGAGACTAATAATATAAAATTTGAGATTATTTGGGTAAAATTTGAATTAGTTTTGGACTGAATTTTTAATTATAGTTCGTTGAAATTCAAAACTACATTCGAATTATATCAAAAATCATATGATAATCATATAATGACGGATGAGTTATATGTAAATTGTTTTTTAAGTTTGGTATTTTATTGTAGTTGTACTTTTTCCGGTCTCCCACTCAGTTTCTGATACTTGCTAGAGCTTGACTATCTAAAATTTGCGCCGTGTAGGGCCATTTGAGGGGAAGCGCTCTCTAACAAGCAAATTTCATAGTACTCTTAATATAAAAATATTTTTTCTTTTACTAATTAATTCAAATATCTCCCACGAGCCTCAATTTTATAGAGTCACGGAGTGTGCCATGTAAGTCAAAAGGTGTACACAATTACAAAAAAAAAATGAGTTCAGGGGGTAATAGGACCTTAGTTTAGTTAAGGTGTGTCTCTAAGATTTCACTCATAGCCTAAAGGGCTACCTGTGCCTTATCCCCAAATTATATTATACAAACTCCGAAAACTACACGTTTATACAAACTTGAAAAAGTTATATAAAAAAGATTGAATGTATCTGGTGATAAAGCTGAAAAACCAAAGGAAATCACCGTCATATATAAATACAAATCATCGTATTCAAATACAAATCAAACAAAGAATTGTTAGTTGCGAATTATACAAACTCGAAGTCAGCCCATGTAATTAACGCTTACTGTTAGTCGCGAATGGTAATTATAACAAACTATAACTATAATGACTAATTAAGTAGTATAAGTTTGCTTAACCGCATAATTTTCCCTATTTATTTATAAATAATTAGTTAAAGTTGATAATGTACATGTTTTTTAAAATATCATTTTTATAAAAGTAAAATCCTTGTACAAATATCAAACAAAGCATTTTATCAATCATATTTATTTATGCAAAACTGCAACAGCGTGATTAAATCAGAAATGTTGATCTTTGTAAATTAGAATTTATTTTATATATTTATATTCACGACTACTTAAGAGACTAAAGTAGAACGTCACATATAATAGGGAAAAATGTCTGAAATATATCCGAACTTTGACCGAAATTGTTGTAACAATACCGAACTTTGGAAATGACCTTTTACCCCCCTGCACTACTTAATAGTGTATTTTAAAGGTATATATATGTGTCCACATGGACATCATAAATATTGCATCATTATAAATAGTAATGTGTCCACGTGAGCACATATATTTCTTTAAAATATATTATTAAATAGTTGAATTATGAGCAATTTTCTCTTTTGTTTTATCTTTTTTCTCGTTGACTTGTGTACGATTTGCTCACTATTTCTTTTTCCAAAAATCGCTCCATACTAAGCGAGTTGGAAAGTTTTTTTTTTTGTTATTCTCGTTGTACACTGAGCGAGTTCTCAACTTCTCTTATTATATGCCCTCATAGTAACCCCATCATTAATTGAAGTAGGATAAACATTTTCTAATGAAGAAAAATCATTATTAGGAAAAGAACGTGCTTTAAAAAAAAAAGGAGAAATAATAAATTTAATTGGAAAAAGACAGTTTTGACTTATTAAGTAACAATAACAACATTTATAGATCAAACTATTAAAGACAATGATATTTTTGGATCAAACTATCAACCAAGGATATTTTTATTCATTTTACATGATTTAAGAATATTATAAACCCTTTTTCAGCTAATTAAATCATCACAAAATCCAAAAAAAAAAAAAATTGTTTTCCAACACATGTTTCCACACACTAAGAAAAGCCAAAAACAGAAAGAAACTAAACATTGAAAAACGAAAACATAAGAAAAAACAGCAAATTTGATTGATGGTTGGAGAAGGCAAGTTGATGAAGTGAGATATTCTTCTCTGTTGATTTAACACAAATATTATTTATATTTATATAAAAGAGGAACAAAAAAAATACTACTAAATTGTGGACAAGAGAGTATTTTTAATTTCATTTTTTTAACATATAAATAAAGCATCGTCTTAAATGTGGATAAGCGTAGACGAATTATGTTCAAACCAATTACACTCACTCAAAAAGCTTAAAACAATAATAAGAAATGAAACATTAAAACCACTCAATTAATAACCAATGTGCTCGGCAGAAATGAAACACTAAAACCACTCAATTTCACCGCTTTTTAATTCCTCTTCAACAACTTTTTCATTCTCTCTGGAATCTCCATTAAACTTGGACAATTATGGATACGAAGACCTTTAATCAGAGGCATGGCACTTGTGCCTAAATCCCATCTTTCTAGGTTCCAAAGAAAATCAAGAAGAAGGAACTCTAGTTGACTGAAGCTGTTATCACTGCACATTATTTCTTCTCCTTTATAAGCTGCTTCTAATTGGAGATTCCTTAGGTTTGGCAACATTCCCAAAATAGGCATCGGATCTTCTGTCAGTCCTGAGTCCCTCAGAGCCATCATTGTGATGGAATTTGGAAACAGATGAGGCAGTTTCTCTATTCTCCCATATAAGAACAATTTCTGGAGCTTTTCACAACAATTAACAAATTCAAGGGATGGAAATGATTGACGTTGTCCACAAATCAATTTGAGAGTGCTAAGGTTTTTCAAGCTGCTAATGTTGTTTAGGGAGTAAGAGTTCCTAATACTATCCATGCTTAATTCTCGAAGATTGACTAAATCAATAGGGTCAACATCTTTCCATTGATCGCAACCAACACCTTTAAGAACTTGAAGACTAGTGAGTTTGCTTATATGTGGCAGAGGTTCTAAATACCGAGCAACTAAATGTCTTAAATTTATCAGGTCAGCTGTCTCGTGGGGTAGTTGGAAAGTGTCACTGCCCGCATCGACAACAAGTGTCTGTAGATTCTTGAGGTTGCCAATGGACGAGGGAACATGATATGTACTTCTCAATCTAAAGAACTTGAGGTGGTACAAACTCCCTATGGCATTAGGTATAAAACAACCATAATTCGTATGCAAGCACAACACATATATATGTCGAAACACATCTATATGTTGGAACACATTACGAAAATCCTGATTGAAGAACATAATTGACCTCAACTTCAAATTAGAAAGATCAAGTGAGTGATACATTTCTCCTTGATTATGAATGGCAAGTCTGATACATGAAGAGGATTTGGAGTGCTTTCTTGGATGATAAATGTCAAAGAGGTTTGTGTCGGATGCCTTTTGTATGGCAAGATCACGGAGTAAATCATGAATCCTACATTCAGTAACTTTTTCCCAAAACGTATTCACCACTTGAACCAAGCTTCGTCTTATCAGCTCATTCAAGAAGCCTTCAGCCACATCCTCCATTCTTTCTTCTACATTTGGTACGAAACCCTCAGCCATCCACAACCTTATTATGTTTTCAGCCTCGAGAACTTGATCTTCCGGAAAAATACCCAAGTACAGAAAACACTGCTTGAGCACAGTTGACAAATCGTTGTAGCTTAATGATAGAATGCAGGAGATTTCAATAAATTTATCTTCAATAATGTTCTTCCAAAGTTGATCTTTCACTTCTTGCCATTTGTCCAGCCCCCCTCTATGCGAAAGTAGTCCACTCAATACAACAATTGCAAGAGGTAAGCCTCTACACTTTTCCACCATATCCTTAGCTAGACTTTCCATTGCTGGAACCATTGCTCGAACATCAACTAGTTTCCTACAAAAGAGATCCCAACTTTCTTCTTGGCTTAGGAAACGAAGTTTATGGACAAAACCTCTATTGTCTGCTCTTTCAGCGACATCCTCTTTGCGCGTGGTAATAATAACTCTGCTGCCATTCTTGCTATCCGGGAATGCTCTTTTCAAACTTTCCCATGCTTCTCTCTGCCATACATCATCAACCACCACAAGGTATTTGCGTTCTGTTAATAGATTACGAAGGTGATTTTCTAGATCTATTTCTGCCATCTTTTCCAACAAATCTAGAGTTTCCTTGGCGCAACCTTGGATGGATTTTATGATAGTCTTAAGAAGATCCATTGTGTTGTACTCTTGAGAAACACATATCCAAGCGCGTGTAGAGAAGCAAGAGGCAATATTAGGATTTTTGTAGAGTTTTCTGGCAAGAGTGGTCTTGCCTAATCCGCCCATGCCATAAATGGAGAGGACGGTTCGACGAGGCTCTGCTTTGAGAAGTTGAGCTAGCAATGTTTGTACAACATCCTGAAGTCCAACAAAAATGTAATCCTGGTCATCCACATATGAGGTAGTTCTCCTCAATGTTCCAACCATGGCAGACTGATTACTTGGCCCTTCTCCAGCATTACTATTGATATTTGTAATACCATAAGTATCTCGTTTGCGAGAGATATCCATGATTCGTTGCTTGAGTGATTGAATCTCCTCGGCGACATTGTAGAATTTCTTCTCCTTCCTACATATGCAAACGCAAGCCTTGAGACGACTAGCAAATTCATCTTTATCAGCCTCAAAGGTGTAAGTCTCGAGTATAGCAACAACATCATTAGCAATAGAGTTGATCTCAAACACCCATTGTTGAACTCTATGATCTCCACTTTGCTTTAGTTCTGCATCTTTGAGGAAAGACTGTATGAAGAGTAACTCATTTCTCAGCCATGTAACTTCATCTCTCAGACTTGTTCTCAGTGAAACTTGTTGTATGAGGAAATCACCCAATTTTTGAACTGCAAATGACAGAAAGGCATCAGCCATCTTCAGGAATACTACTTCTGATTGAAATACAAGTTGGAAAATGGGAGATAGAGATCAAAAGCAATAAGAGGGGACTGTATATTGGAATACAAGTTGGAAAATGGGAGATAGACATAAAAGTAAGAACAAATAATGTGTTCAATTAAGGGTCCACTTATCACTTATGTGATTAAAGTTTAGAAAAAAACAAAACATGACCATGTGGTTTCTGAAAAAAAGGAACTACGATTAGACAACCATTATCAAAAAGGAAAAAGAAGTATTAAAGCTTTTTGAAATTTCCCACTAAAGTGAAAGGTACCTTTTTTTTGGAATATCTCACTGCTCCTTGATTCTCGATATCTAATGTGGTGATTAAATATGATGATTCATGATTGTTGTGGTAATGGTTGTTAGTGGTATTAAATATCTAGTAATTCTGTTTTAGCACACAAAACAGAATTACTAGATATAACGGGTAACAATACGATCTAGTTATATCTAATATAGTTAAACAAAGAGAACTGGAAAATATGAGTAATTTAGCACACAGTAACTTAAAAAGGCTAAAATCCCCAAGTGCTTGATTAGAAGAGATGAATGAAAACAAGAAGGAATTTCAACAGGTTCCTGTTTTCCACTATAATGGCATGTGTTCTCTTCTCCCTCTTGTTTTTATTTGTTTCTCCTTCATATGGGATTCTTTTTCCTTTTTTGTCTAATCCGTTTTCAATCCGCTCATATTCAATTCAACCTGCCCATTTTAAGTCATCGTACAAGACCTTGTACACTAGAAATGTTCACAAGAAAATTGACTCAGCTGCCTCTTTTAGTCGGATACTTATGAAGGTTGCATTGTCTCCTCTGATGGATATTTTTCCCTTGCTTCTTGACCTTCAAGCTTCGATGAGTTAGCGATGGCCTCTGATATAGCCTTTGGTAGCCAAAATCCAGGTCTTTCGATAGAGGCTGCACGATCAAGTACCAATGGCTCACGCAATGTGATCTGAATGCCATCATATGTCCACAACACTAAATCTGCTTCGCCTTTCAAACCTAGGGAGAACCATCCTAAGCCAGCAACCACAACATCCATGCTCTTGACATCCCAGCTCGTTCCACGTGCTTTTACTTCCCTCTCTTTCCATTGTCCCAACTCAGAAACTCGCTCCATGGAAATGGGAGGCTGAAGATCAACAAATAAAAACAGAACAATTAGCATAGTTATGTGCTCTTTCCAATTGTTTTCCTTTACACTTGAGTAAATTGAAACCATCTTAGAGGCATCGATGGTACACAAATATTATATAGCGTCTAAAAATTTGAATGGTGAAAGGTAGGAGCAGAAGATGATGAAAAGGAGCACCAGAGAGCATTGAAAAAATACAACTCGTTAGATATGCTCAATAATGCAAATTGTTAAGCTTCCTGGAGCAAATTTCCCTTTGGATATTAACTTGGAAAACATACTGTTTCAATATTCAATTTAGCAAAATTGTGCATTTTTTCCGAATACTGTATAGTCCGTTATGTTGCAGTATTTCATCCTTTCCCACCGTTTTCTTGACGTGGCTTTAGGAAGTAATGTAGTGCCCACTTGGACAGAAGAGATCACGCATATGAATAGACAGGTTACGTAAGCTCCATGGGGAACTCCCAATGCAGGAGAAAATGGTTAGTATAGTCCCAGCCCTAATCAGTGTTATCAAAAGCCAAAAGTGCAAAAAAGCTCTAACACGTAATAGAAAAAGGCACAGATGATGACACTGACGCGCACATTAAGTGAGGTGAAGCGCTCAACACGTTTTGAGCCTTGCTTCAGGGCTTAAGCGCGCCTTTGACAACTCTGGCCCACAGATTAAGTGATTCACCTAGTTTTGGCTCTTTGGTCAACCAGCGGGCATTAGAACCTATAACTCAACCATAACTGAAGAACTACTGTCCCCTGTATAAACTTTTGACTGAGACTTATTTCTAACATCCCCTCGAGAGAATGATGCATTAAGCCTCATATGGCAAAGGTTTTTTTTTTTTTTGCCTCTATAGATGCCCATTAAAAAAATGGTTGTAGACAGATAGAAGCGTGCTTGGTGAGAGCTGATTATTAGCTGCAAAGAAATGGATGAATTTATATAGAAGATGTCCATTAATAACATCTTAGGAAAATAGTCTTTCTTTGGTTCTTGGTCGATCAAGAGTAAAGGATTTGTTTGCACATACGGCACTATGACATCTGCTATCAGGCTAACTTGCATCTTGCAACATGTTCTTAGTTGTTAACTTGTTTTTGCATCTACGACTTCTCTTTAGCAAACAATACTATCTCACCTTTCATTGTAGTTCTCTCAAATCTATATATTGATCTTCAACAAAAAACATACTGATGTAGTTCAAGTGGAATTGGCTATAAAGTAGGAAATATTATTGAATCAGAAATACTACGAGAATGGAGTATTACCTGCAATCTCACTCCAGCATGGTTGTTCTTGAGCTCATCGGCATTTTCTGTCTTCCCTAGATGAAGAGATACACTAGGCGATGCCCAGACAGTGACGTAGATTGTTTCGACTGAAGCTTGAACTAGATCCAGTCTAACTAAGCCCCCTATATGTACAGTCTGCCCATGCTGCAAGAAAATTGGGAAAAATACCTTTAGAGTTGAAAATTCTTTTTAATCTCAGGCAAAAAGTTTGTTGCAGTCATATATATGTTTAACTGCAATATAAAACTAAAAAGACAAATAAAAGGAGCTATCTGAATCCCAAACAATTTTATTAGGGGTCAGTTTACAAAGATTTAAGGTCATTTCATCAAATTTCTCTAAATTTCGAAGTCCACAGCCCTAGCAGTGGCTTCATCAATATTACCTACCAAATAGAAGGCCTGAACCTATTTCTAGAGCAAAGAATCTATAGAACTTCATGTAGAAAGACTATATATGTACAACTATTTCCAAAATTGGTATATCGGGAAAGAAAGAAAAAGGGTACAAATTTCAAGTTAGAGACACTGCATCACAGGATTCTTCAAAGTAAAGTGAAGTAAGCCTTCAGTTAAGAGGAAACTACAAACTACTCTCTCCCTAATCATCTTCAGGTTATTCTGGTGGTGGAACCAGATTCCTAAGTCTCACCCATTTGTTTCAAGACTCAAGAGGCAGTAAACTTGGAGTTAAGATACACAGAATATATTAACCTTGTTGGCAAGTATCAAACACAACAATGCTATTGGTAAAGGGCAGCTCGGTGCACTAAGCTCCCACTATACACGGGGTTCGGGGAAGGGACAGACCACAAGGATCTATCGTTTGCGGCCTTGCCCTGCATTTTTGCAAGAGGTTGTTTCCACAACTCGAACCCGTGACCTCCTAATCACATGTCAGCAACCTTACCTTACCACAACTTTACCAGTTACGTCAATGCTCCCCTTCTATTGGTGACACGTAATGAAATACTGAACTGACACTTTTTACACTGGACTCTTTACTCTAGATATAAAAAAAACTCGGTAGACAAGTAAGAAATTCAGAAGAGGAGGAAAAGATGTTCTCCAGTGGAAAAGGAAAACAAATATATCAGTCCTTTGCAGGCCAAAGAATGGAATTTCCAAAATGCTTTTCCTTCCTTTGACAGATCAGTTAAAATCTTTGAATATAACAATTACATAAATTGTGTGAGAACATGCATTATTCACCAATCACAAGGCCAAGCAAGTCCAGAAAACATATGAATAGTAAATTTTATTTTGCTGAACTTTTATATCACAATGTGCAGTAGTGCTGATAAATGTTAGTCAACTGGTAAATTTGGATATTTATGCACCAGAGCTAAGTTTCCCATTTCTATTGCAATTTCAAATCAAACAAGGGTTCTCACGGGATTAACTGCAATACACTTGTACAGATATTTAAATGTATTTATAAAATTCAAATTATTAATTTATGGTCACTAATCGTAAAGTTCAAATAAGTAGCTTATCAAAAAATAGATCATATTATGGGCTGTAAAACGAACGATAAAGTAAATAAGAGAGACTAGCTTGCCTTAATCCTATAAGTTCGAGGTTGTAGCTCCTTTCGTATCTCAACCATTTTCTGCTCCTCCCTATTTAATCGCATGGACATAAGATATGGATGTAGGAGGCCCGGCGTGTCATACATCTTTGCCTTGGCTGACAAAATTCCTCCAATTCTCAGGATTCCCAGAGTAGTTCCAGGTACAGGAGCTTCTGTAAGCTTTGTAGCTTTTACGCCTCCTTTCTTAGCAAATGCATTTATCAATGTCGACTTCCCTGCATTTTGCGCCCCAATAACCCACACATTTCCTCGAGGACCAGCCAATTCTTTAATAAATGCCAGCAAATTTCTAATACCTAAATCTTTACGGGAACTTACCATGTAAACTCCACTCAGTTTAGGTGCTCCATTAGCTTTAGCACGGTGTCGAACCCATTTGTCCAAACGCGCTGGGGAAATTTGAGAAGGGAGAAGGTCAACCTTGGTAGCCACAAGAACAAGCTTTGGCAACTTCTTACTTTGTTTCAAGCCATCCTTGCTTTGTTCTAGTGCCTTAAACAAAGATTTAGCAGCTCTCTTCGGAAAGGAACCATCAAAATCAACACAATCAACCACCATAACCACAACCGTCGCATCAGCTTTCCCAGTAGGTCTCATCAACCTACTCGTAATTAACTGGTCAAAATCAAAATCGGGTATCAAGTTTTCGGCCAGCTCATTCTTCACTTGTCCATAGTTCCTCAACGAATGACATCGAGCACAAACCGTGACCTCCTCTTTCTCTCCCTTAGCCGCTTCCCTCGCCATCCTTTTCCTCTCCGATTTCGACACCCTTTGCTTCTTTCCTTTCTCAAGAACCTCCTCTGTAATGTTACCATAACCTAAACCCGCTGGCAAAAAACCATCTAACTCTTTCAAATCATCCTCGTCTTCTTCCAACCCCGATTCCCATTCCTCGGAATCCCAATCATCAAATCCATCCTCACTCCCTGACCCCATTTCTTCACTTCCACTTTCTTCCAACTCCCCCTCAATAAAATCCCCAAATTCCTCCTCTTCTTCATTATCCCCACCTTCACTAACAACAACATCCTCATCATCCACAAAATCCTCTAAACTTTCTTCCACCTTTTTTTCCTTGTAATAACCAGGATGATTTGGGTCTTCATCCTGCATAAAGATTCCACAACCAGGACATATACACCCATAATTCTCATCATTATCCCTCCCTTCACTCAATAAGAGCTTAAAGTTACTATCTTTTCTTGAAATACTACTACTACTACTATCACTTCTCCTTTTTGTTCTTGATTGAGTACCCTTTATTACAGATAAAACCAAGAAAGGAACTTTTTGCTGACATCTTTTCTTGTGGGGTTTTTGAGTAAAACCTGTTTAATCAATTCAATAGAGAAAAAATGTTCATTATGTTTGTTACCCTTGTTACTTCATTCAATCTTGATTATAACAACAACAACAAAACAAACAAAAAATTGAAAGGGGAGCTGAAATACCTGTAAATTGGAGATGGGGTACCAAGAAATTCTTTGTTTCAAAGATGGAATTCAAAGATAAATGAGAAAAGGCAGCTGCTGCTGCTGTTGAAGTTGAAAGCAGTAGAGCCATGGCTGAAAAAATGCCTTAGCTGTTTTATGGTATGTATCAAAAGTAAGCAAATTAATGTACAAGTATTTTAGCAAGTGATACAACCTTTTAATGCTGTTGATTTTTTGGGCTCAACATTATGGATTCAAACCCAATACTATCTTAGTAACATATTTAAAGTATAGCCAAAATTTACAAAGGTTCTAAATTTTAGCCATTGGAAAACTACAATTCAGTTGTTTCGAGGATAGTTCTTTAGTAAATGGTCGTTTTTTTTTTTTTTTTTTTTGGTAATTTATGGACCTTTTAAATAGTGGTTTGAAGGTCTTTTTTGAGAAAATTGAAAGTTTTATGAGAAAATATTATTGGATCATTGAAAGTTGCATGAGAAAATATTGGGCCATAGCTTAAAATATAGGACCCGTTTGGCCCCATGAATACTTGGAGAAAAAATTTAGAAAGTGATATTTGGTCATATAACTTGGCCAAGTATCCCATGTTCCTGGATACTAGAAAAAAACTAGTATTTGGGCCAAGTTATAATATTTGGAAATTTTAAAAAAATCAAAATTATTTCAAATTTTTATATTTTATAAAAAAATACTCATTATTTATTAAGTCCAACTAATATTTGTTACTATCTCCTCTGGAAAAAATTGAGTTCTAATTTGAGTGATAAAATTTAGAAAAAAGAACAATTTGTTTTAATGGGTTATAATTATTACCGAATCAATGACAAATTTGAATATGTGATTAATTTATTGGTCTTGCATATATTGTTATTTTGCTGTTGTTGATTGTTATCAATCATGTTATACGGTTATTTTTTAACTGAGCATATTCACTATAAATAGATAATACAAATTTATGAATATTTTTAATAGTTTTAGAAATTATGGGTATAAATCATATTTTTTTTAAAATAGTCAAATATTCTTGGGAAAACTTGGGTCAAACACATGGTGTAATTTCATCAAAAACTTGGCCCAAATATTATTTGCCAAAAAAATTTAGAAACTTGGGGCCAAACGCTAGCATAGTATAGATTATTGCAAATGTTAAATGTCATATATATTTTATCCGTTAGATTGAGCAATATAAAAGCAAATACTAGATCAGAGTCTAACTTTATCTGGTAAGCAATTCCAATTTTGGTCTTAAACATGTATCTTAGGATGTGTTTTACAAGTGTTCAACCCAAAAAGCAAGCTTCGAATGAATTCTGAGAAGTCTTTAAAAACACTGATTTAAATTTGAATTTGAGTGTGTGATGAGTAGATTGGATTCAATGATTGTGTATAATCAAAATCTCACAACATGTGAGAATGCTCGATTCATTAAATATTTTATTAATTGATTTTAAATAAAGGGAAAAGGCTCAAATATGTCATCGAACTTTGAGAAAAGGCTCATCTATGATATTCGTTTAAAATTTGGCTCATCTATGTCATTTTCGTTTGAGAAAAGACTCATCTATGTCATTATTTGTTAACTGAAATAACATAGATGAGCCAAACTTTAAACGAATGACATAAATGAGCCTTTTCTCGAATAGTTTTTTCTCTTAAATGAGTACTGAACTTGAGTTTCTTCTATAATCTGTTATAAATTGTTGTTGATAGAAAAGAAATTGTTATTTATTTATTTATTACTATGAAAGGGATAAAATTTTCTGCCTATTTGTATTACTATTTCATGTTGATTAGGGGTGTGAACCGAAAATCGAATCAAATCGCAAATCGAGTCAAACCGATAAAAACTTGACTAGTGGTTTGGTTTGACTTGATTTGGTATTGAAAAAAAAACCCGACTATATTTGGGTTGGTTTGGTTTTAACAAAAAAAACCAACCCGAGACCAAACCAACCCGACATAATATACATAATTTTAAATTTTATTTTATACATAAAATATTTACTTTGATATAATTTTTTAAATATTTCTTATACTTTTTCATAGTTTTTATCTTTTAATATATTATTTCAAGTTTGAAACTTAGAATTTTAAATGGTTCAATAAAGATTATAGTCCACAGATGTTGATAATTATAATAAAGTTTAAATCAAAATCAAATTAATACTAATGCAAAAAGAAAATCAATTCAACACTAAGAATGACAATAATATTGAATATTTGTTTTTTAGTTTTACATTGGTTTAGACAATTAAAATACATAATCTAATTTTAATTTCCTTTAATATTTAGTCATATAACTAATACTTATTAAACTTATTTTAGCATGATTTAGTACTTTTAAATTATGATCATTTTCATTTTGACTTGTTAATTTGCAATATTTGTTTCACGTGATTTCATTATTATTATTTTTTTGTTGGATATTTTAGTGTTATTAATCATATCATATTTTGTGTTATTTTCTTAAGAAACACATTAGATAGTTGTATTTTGGTAGGACTAAAGAAATATTTGAAGTACAAGTAAATTATATGTTTGTATGAATACTTTATCGGAAAAACCCCAAAAATCGGAAAAACCCAAAAAAATCCAAAAAAAAAAAATTGAGGTTGAAAAACCCGAGTTTTATTGGTTTGGTTTGGTATATAAATTTGACAATCCGACACAAATAATTTGGTTTGATATTTGAAAAATTCGAACCAACCTGACCATGTACACCCCTAATGTTGATATTATTGATCACAATTGATTGTTCGAGGTTTGAATTTTATTACGTAAAAGGATTTAAAATATCCCTAATAGTATCAAAAATAATTCTATTTTTTCCTTCTTCAACCTATTGAACCGCAATTGCTCATTACTTTTAGGGATAAAATGAATCCTTTTTTCATTTAATGAAACACTTCTTACTTACTTTCTTGCTTACGGGAAACACATTATATCTTAATATTAATGATTCCCTTTTAACAATTCCTTCTATTATCTTAATTTGATCATGAAACATATTATAATGTTCCAAACACTTCATTAATATATATTTTTGTTTGTTTCACCATATTCATAAGTGTGTGACCTTATGAATATGATGTGGACTCATATTTATTTTGAAAAATAAATAAATTATCATTTATTTTATTTTGAGAATTTTAATGATTATTAATTTGACAAAGTCACAAAGTTGGACTCATGTACAAAGTTGCAAACACGAACTATATGGCTGTCAGCTTTAAGGTTAAGCATTACTTGTAATTTCAGAAAACGACTACATATATGTTTTCATTTTCTTCTCACATTTTTTTTCCGCTGAAATTATATTTTAAATTTATCAGTTCTGAATAAATTATTTATACATATATGTAAATTTATAAACATGAATATGGAATTTGAGCTAAATTTACTGAATTCTGTCAAATTCGTAAGTCAACTATAGTTTCATTGATATTTACATTGTTTTAAGTGGGCCTTTGGTGTTTGAACATAAATTATTTGTAAAAATCAGAAGACAAAAAATAGTATTTGAGAAAAAAGTTGAAAATGAAGTATAGAATTTGAGTCAAATTTACTGAATTCTATCGAATCGTATTCGTCAGTATCTATACGTCATTGTTTTAAATGACCATTTTGACATAAAAATTGTGAAACTCGAAGAAAAAAATTGTAATTGAGTCAAAAGTAGAAAATAAAGTATAGAATTTGAGCCAAATTTACTGAATTTTGTCATTGTTTTAAATGAACATTTTGACATACAAATTGTGAAATTCGAAGAAAAAAAACATAGTATTTGAATAAAAGTTGAAAATGATGTTTGAAAATTGAAGCTATTTGCTAAATTTTATGAGTGATTTGGAGTAAAAATTATTAAAATAACCTTTTATAGTTTTTCAAATTCCAAAATATTGTAATAATTTTATGTCAAAAATAATTTTTTAGAAATAATATTTTAGAAAAAAAATATTCATAAAAACGGACACTAAATATTAAGAAAATTTAGTAGATCTTCCAAGTCAACGTCAACACTAAATCCATAAGTGGAAGATTCAATTAAGGCATGCGTTTCACGTCAATATGACTATATTTTGCTGCAACCACGTTCGATGTATATATATATATATACACACGTACGTATTAGTTTATTTTTTCTTCTTCGTCCTTAACCAGAAGTTTCAAATTTGAATTATTTTTTTTTAAAAAAAATTGTTGTAAGCATTGCCCAAAAATAAGCTTTGCAATATAAGAATTAAAATTTAATCAGACTTCAATATGAGCATAGAACATACAAATAAAAAAATATATAAATTTACTTGTTAATAGATGGACTTTGTTTTATATTTTATAGTGATGTAGATTTTTGTTCAATAAAAGAGAAATGTAAATAATTAAAGAGTTAATTAAAAATAAGAGAAAAAGTCAGTAGCTACTCACTTCTCTAAATTTTTTATTATCGTTTGGTTTTTAATAGTATTCTTCAAATTTTATAATAACAGCGTCGGTACACTATTGGAAAATCATAAAATATTATATTAACAAAGTGTGTACATTACTAAGAAATTATTATTTTTTCACTGAATTTTTTACTGAAAAATGTTCAATTGCTAAAGTTTGCTTGAATCAATGAAAAGAAAAAATAAAAAAGTAATTTTTTTTATGAGATAAAAATATAGGAAGTTTCCAACTATTTCATTGAGTATGATTTGTTTTCGCCAATATTACAGTGAATAGCTGTTACGTAACAAATTCAACTATAAAGTTTGGAAATAACTTAAAAAAATAAGTCGATATAAAGGGTGTGTTTGATACGAAGAAGAAAAAATTCTAGAAAAATAAGTTTATTTCTTATTTATTTTTTTGTGTTTGGTATGTAAGCTATCAAAAAAAATATTATTCTAATTGATGTGTGTTGAAAAGGGTGGGGTTGTGGGGAGCAGATGATCAATGTGAAATGTCACTTGTGAGACTTGTTATCCTGTTTAAACTACATTTTTAAGAAACTTTTTTTCCTAAAAAAAGTGTCGTATGTAATTTTTATAAATAAGATAAAGGGTGTATCTATGGATTGAAGGAAAATGTTTTTTTAATTTTTTTTAAAGAAAAAAATATTTTTCAAGAAAACCAATAAATCAG